AAGCCCTCATATTCACATTTTTTAATGTTAATTGAATTTACAACGGGCACCTAGTGAGACGTCAGATGCTTCACTCACGTAATGTTTCCAGTACTACAGACTTTGGCAGTTTGGTCGTGCACGGCGACTTCTGATTTATCATCTGCCCGAGAGGATGTTCTGCACCAGTTTGTGGGCGATAAGGGGATGGAGAACATTGCTGTCGGTGCTATACAGGATGCAATCTGCTTAACCATCTTCGCGCTAGACTGACCAACAGCTCTCAAGGTCTTATACTGTCAGTTTCTGTCCAAGGTGCTTGAGTAGATGTTAGAACGTTCAGGCACTCCAGGCGCATGTGTTACAATGGTGACTTTGTTATCCTTTCCCCTTATCTTTGTAGGGCTTTGTCTAATTTAACTAGCGTGGTTGTGTGGCATTTGCGTTCTAAGGTTTTCGCGCCTGTGTGCTATCGGTGGTGATGATTTTCCGTCTCTAGATTTGACTGTATGGTTGCTTCCAATTTTCCGCCGTTCATACACGCTGCACGCTGATCCACTGGATAGATGGGATGTGTTTGCGATGTTGAGTGGCTTTCTCATGAGTTTAGCTCATTGTTATGTTGTAATACATTCCTATCTTCATACCCACCAGGTCTCGCATTTTCAGGTCATTCGCGTGAAGCTAGATTTTTGGTACATGTCTCACCGCAGAGGAAGTCTCACGTGTAGAGGAAGTAACCTAATACTGGTACTACAGTATTCCATTCGGTTTGTCAGATGGTAAATGTTTCGCAAACTGGAGCGGCTCTTTTCTTCCCACCTCCATTCTTCTCACCCCATAAGTAACTCAACTTGTAGTGTGTCCAGTCAAATACTTTGGCGATGTCAAACAAAACGGCTTTGGTTCTACTGCCATTGCCTCAATCTTATGCTAAAGGTAGGAAGTTAGCAAGGCTTCTCTCGTATCGCACAGGTAATAAGTAAATAAACGGTGGCTCCTCCTCTCTTTTCGACAGACGTCTTCCGTGCGACTCCAAAAAGGCATGAGGACCGAGATACTTCTAGGTTGCCGAAGCCTTTCGATTTCAGTTTATCAGCTATAAATTACCAACCACTGGATCGTTTCCAGCCATACAGTTTCAGTCATTGAAAATGGGGAGCAGGGAGATGTAGCCAAGAAATGGCATGACCAGACAGTTCGGAGAACTGGCAGCTATTCATTGAATACGATAGTCTCGATGCACAAGTGCCACTGACTGCCTGATTGAGACATGTCTACCAGTGTCATTAACCACTGGTATGTTAAATCCCGGGGTCTACATACAGGGAAGCAGTATTTGTCTACCCGACCCAGTTTATCGGTTAGGTTTCCATACTTCGTTGCCAATTCATAGAGTACCCATCTTCCGGTCGCTTTCACTCAGGGCTGGGCGATAGAGCTCTGTGAGACAGACGTTCCTTTGGCATGCGAAGTACATGTCTTAACCAGCGTAACCTATGAAGCGTGAGTAGTTCATCCATAGTGGAGGAGTCTATCAGACTTTACGATCGGTGCGCACATTGTGTTTCACTGGACCTGATAATTCGTCGGGTTGAAGTATGTTCGGGACCTGCCGGAATATCTCTCAGAGATTCGAGCAGTGCTACTATTCTTCGTAATATCCACTGCTTAAGGTTTTCCGTCAAGGATCAAGTTTACAATGCTGCGGTGCGCTCCATATTACTATACGGATCAGAAGCATGGCCCCTGCGCGCTGAAGACGCCGAAAGACTTTCATTGTTTGACCATTGATGTCTTCAGAGGATTGCCCGAGTTTGGTGGGAACAGCCGAGAAGCAATGCTGAAGTACGTCGAGTGGTATTCGGAAGAAATGACACCCTTGACGGATGAACTGTATAGGTTGCACTGTCTTGGCCACGTGCTCCGTATGCCAGTCGACTGACTTCCTCGAAGGGTTCTTTTCGCAAAACCACGTCAAGAGTGGAAACGAGCCAGAGAAGGTCAAACAATGACGTGGCAGTGAAGTATAAAAGCCATTACCAACAAACTCACTGCCGTCCTTCTGGATGAGGATCCTGATACGGGCCACATCAATGGTTAGAGACATCGTCTGACATGGCCCAGTCGCGCCGTCAATGGCGCTCGTGCATCCAAGCTCTGACTTTCAGTGCGTAGCTCCCTTCCCATTTCCCGCACTTAACAGTTCATTCAAAGTCCTATATTTATGCACCAGTTTATCAGCTCCAGCCTTCAATGCGCAGCTATCTACCCCACCTCCACAAATCGTCGGTGAACGAAACTGTGGCAGCTACAACCACTGTACGACAAGTACGTGGTTCTCACAGCTGATTACAATGATGTTGATGTCATGTGTGTACTCCAGATCGACAAGGCTTCCATGAGCAACAGTTTGAACAGCGGGATTTTGAAGACCTTGCAGTGCTCGCCTCATTATTTCATCAATGACGAAGTTGAATAAGAACGGAGAGAATGGACATCCTTGCCGGGCACCACCTTTCGTAGGGAATCTTTTGGAGAGCTCACAACACATGCAGCAATTAAGTTCAATCACCACAACAAGGTGGCGGCCTCATGTCGAGGATTGGCACGCTCCTGGAGGACACTGTGTGGCCAGATGTAATAACGGTATTTTCTCAGGTTAGTTATTGGTCTCAACCTTCCAATCTATAGCTCCCCTCAAAGCAACCACCAAGGTGCACAACGTGTATTGATGTTCAAAACCAGGTCAAAAACACATGTACATGCCGCGACGATATTCTGGAAATTCCAACGCGTTCTTCGTGTGCAGTTGGCAACCGGCATTCGGCAGGTGCTGGAGCATGAATGGCTTTCCAGTCGGAACTCGCTTTGATGCTGGACCAGCAAGTGCTCGTTATGCGTGCGCGGACTGGGTCTTCAACAGAGCAACTGATGAATTTTCCCCAATGGTCCCGAGATTAATAATGCTCGGAATCATCTGTAGACTCTACTCGGTCCGGTGGGGAGAATCTGCGAATTAGTTGGCGCGACTTTGTGTTCCGAACCCACTTGGCCAAGCCAACTTAAATTTCGTTGAGCGCTTAGCTGCGCCGGCGAAGGATGTGTTTTGGAATCCACTTAAGATGTTTGTCAGTGTAGTTGCGGACCAACACTTCCTGACCTTCGTTGAAGGAGCGCGCGGTTGCCAGTTGAAATGGTTCTCCATCCTCCTGCTGCGGTAACTCAATTGCTTTTTCTGTGACCGGATAGTGTCATGCGGTGTTCGAAGCTTCCTTCGGAGCAGTGCATCTGCTGGTGGCACTCCATCAGGCGAGTTGGGTTTGGTGTCTCTCGATATGCCGGCGTGAACCTTTGCAAAATCTCTTCCGTCGGTGCTTCCCCTTTGGACTTTCAAAGTGCACGCCTCAGAGTGTCAACTAAGCGTTCCGCCTGGTCGTTCGACTGTGGACGAAACGGCGGTGAGCAAACATGAGATGTACCATACTCCCGACAAATCTCAGCGAACGTTGATGACGTGAACTGATTACTGCTGTCGGATACAGTAGTCTCGTGCTGTAAAGTGACTGAACAGTCATCGGAGTTCCAGGACTGTGGTGGCGGTTGTGGGCCTGTTCACTGGAAGGGTTTCCGGCCACTTGCTGTAAGCATCGACCACGACCTAAAAGTGTTGGCCACCCACTGGACCTGCACAATCGGTGGAAAGACGAGACTAAGTTTTGGTCGGTTGCGACAGGGACCGTAGGTAGGTATTCACAGGTGACTGGGATGTTTTACCACATCGCAGGCAAGATTTGGGGACTTGCTCAATCTGGGAGTTCATCAGATGCTGGTAGACATAACTCCGAGGAAGGGTTTTCATCCCGTTTTTTCCCGGGTGCCCTTGATTGTACTGCGTCAGGACAGCTGGTTGTAACCCCTTTGGAATGACAACGCGTTCTGTAAGTCAAAGGCGTCCATCGGTTGTTGATAATGCATCACGCCAATTGGAGTCATGTCTTAAGTGGTCTTCGGGTAGGTACGCAGCCACAGATTGCAGTGGTACTTGATGACCTGCTTCAGCACTGGGTCTTTGTGGGTAGCCCATTGGATCACTTCACCAGTCACAGGGAGATTGCGATCTGACCCTCCCTTCAAAACACCATCAATGGTGCACAGCGTCTGTTAACGCCCAAAATCAGGTCAAAAGAACATGTACGGTGCGTCGTTTATGCGGTGGCAACATTCTGGAAATTTTAACACCTGGATGTGCTGTTAGCAACCGGTGTTCGGCAGCTACTGAAGCATGATTGGCTGTAGGGTCCAGGCTTCCTGCCAATCAGACCTCACTTTGATGGTGAACCGGCAAGTGCTCCAATCTTCCGGCCAGTCACGTGTGGGCTAGGCTTCTTGGCTGTAGCGGCACCTTACTACTAGTGGTAAAGTGCTGGCGGTGTGGAATCCCGCCTAACAACGAGCTGGGCTATCCGTTTCCTAATCAGGTGCAAACTGCTTGTCCTTCCTGAACCGCAGCACCCTTGTCTCAAATTACTCTGATGGTGGTGTGCAAGTCTGGCCTTTCTCAGTCCCCAAAACACTGAAGTATGTGGGGTGGTTGGTGCCCCAGTAACGATAAATCTCTCGAGGGCCTGTTTAAGTCTTGCAACACAGCCTTATGACAGGTGAACGACTGAACTGCCTATATCCGAGTACAATCAATCAGTTTTATTTTTTAAGGTGAATAGGCCGATTGCTGGGACACCCTGGAGTTTGAAAGAATCACGTCCTTAGGCCTTGCTACCTCATGGGTCCAGTGCCCGATCAGTGCTGTGTAGAGTATCATTGACAAAGGGCGGTATTTCATTTTCAGTTCTTTGGTCCAACCACCACGGAAGCAGTAGATTAAAAAACATTCAGTTTCGATGTCGCACGGATTTTGTGTTTTGTCGATTGATCTCTTCCTTGAGATAGCTTGCTATTAATCAATGTACTGATTAATCGCAACTTACGTGCATTGTTTTTCTCATTCAACAGGAACCTAGACAATTCAATCTCTGTGTTATCTTCGGTTGCAAATGCCACAGCTGTACAGACCCCCGGACATTCCTAAAGTTGTGTAAGTTCGTTCTCTTTTGCGTGTTGATTTACTGGATATCCAGCCGTAGCATAAAGTTTCAACTGTGCAACGAAGCAGATATCAAACAGTTCAGTCACGTCCAGGTTCTGAAGTGTCTCTTGTACGGCGAAGGTCAGAACAACCGGAAGGCTCTCGAATACGGTCTACTGGACCCGAAGTTGGGTGCGAACAAACGAGACGAACTGTGTGCGACATGTGGACTCGACTACCAACTATGTATTGGTCACTGGGGCTACTTTGATCTTCCTGTCCCGATTTTTCATGTCGGTTACTCATGGCACATTGTTAAAATACTTCAATCCATATGTAAGGTAAGCTCAGCAGTGCTTTTTGTCCTAGGCATAATTCTCTTTCTCTAAAAAAGACATGCTCCCGTGTTCTTCTCCCGGAGGCCCATCGGGATCGGTACCTATCGAGCTGCTCCAACCCAAACTTGGAATACATACAAAAGAAGCAGTTGCGGAAGGCAGTCCATAAATTAGCTAGTAGGGTTCATGTTTGCCCCTACTGTCTTGCTACAAACGGTTAGTTGAAGCAGTTATCTGTTAACCTGACTTCACAGGGTTTGTTACCAAGGGTGCCAACTTGTCATACGCTGTTCATGACGTATACCGATATGCCAAGTCGAAAATTGATAATTACGTGAACGAATATTCCAGTGTGATATTGGAAAACCCGGAACTTTCGACTCTGTTACACAAGGGCTTGGTAAGTTTCGTGTTAATTTTAACAACACGGCAATCCCAAGTTTTGTGCCAGTCTACAGGGTGATGTCAATTGATTTCTGTAGAAAGCTCAAGCACACACCATTAGCATTGATCGATTGCGACCCTCTTTCACTAAGATTCAATGGTTAGATTAATTCTTGCACGATTATCTTCACCGCAGTGTGGTTTGCCGCCCTTCTGGGCCAGCTATTCAAGACTACGATGTCGTAAAAGCTAAGAAAGTGGGAAGTAGGTTGTATCAAGGAATATGGTAGTGGACATGCAAAGAAGATATAGTTATCCCCCGTGACACTTATCGAAAAGTTACTTGTCCGAAGGTGACATTATATATCATGAGAGAGTATACCATCAAATGGATTTAGTTATTGTTTTCTTTTCTGGACTTATGCTAGGCTCAAATCTGTCTAATCGGAATGAGAAATAATCACACGGTACTCGTTTTTGCAAAGGATCACGACAGCCGTGGGGTGAATATTTTACTTGAGTGTGTTGATTATACAAATGACTAGACCCCTGAGTGGCAAGTCCACCTAGTGCAATTAGCATTGATTCGCATCCTGCTAGTACTTTCTCTGCTGCTTTCTCCAGCATGATCCAAATGACCAAACAGATTCCGCTTCATTCGGGTGGCATGACAGTTAAGCACCGAAAGGGTACTACGCTGAGCTATCAGTTAAGCACCGAAAGGGTACTACAGCTGAGCTATTGTTTATTATATTACTAACAAGATGCCGGTTAAAGTTCAACGAACAGGATCGACAATACTGTAAAAACTCAGGAAATCCAAGTCTCAAAATTTTGAAGAATCTTCCAGTAGTTATTTCTTTGTGGAAGATTAATGTATGGATAATCACCTGGGTTATATGTTGCTGCACCCCGATGGTTGATCTGCAGTTTTGGCCTCATTGACCATGCTTAGATGTGTACACTATGGACTTTTCTATTTGATTGGATGTCTAGGCAGGTTTAATTCTGCTCTTACAATTCTCAACTTTTTATATTAATACACAAGTATAGTCCCACCGTGGTTCCTCATCTATGCGATAGTTCGACTTCTTTCCTTCCTACCCTTTCTAGAAGAAAAAAGTGTTATAAAAGTTGGCTATTTTGAGGAATCGCAACACCGACTTAGAGTTGTCAATGTACGGATGGTCCAGGTACTGTGATTTTAGGACTGCTGACGATAGCGCTGCACTTCGTGTCGTTTGAGTTCTCATGGTATCAACCAATCTTCATACGAGCTTGACCATCTAAAGATGCCTACTGTGGAGTAATCAATATCGGGCGATGGGCCCTACCTGAATAGATAACAGTCATGATATGGGCACAGCAATACCATAAGTGACCGTGCGTCTCAATGGCTGCGCGCACCTCTTCACCGGACCGAAATACATCTGGGTTGCGACTGTTACCTTTTTCTCTTTTTTTAATCAGGAAATCATTCGACCTGCCAGAGCTTTGCAGTTATTTTCGAAAATACCCGAATCCGATCTTCCCTTGCTGATGATGCCAGGTGGAGATTCATGGACCACACATCCAAAGGATCTCATCGTCCAGCGAGTTCCTGTTGCACCCAGTTCCATCCGACCATCAGTTGTGTCCGAAGTGAGGAGTGGCACGTAAGTTTCGGACCGCCTATGGGCGTTCTGGCAAATTTTCACGTAGTTCATGTATACTCTGGTAACATGGTGATAAAGAACGTCTATAATTGTTATGCTTCTGCGATTTCACCTTTTCCAGCACGCAACTGTTGCGTAGCTGTTGTGACCGCTTTAGCTGTTACGTCATTCGATCAGTACTCTAATTTTAAGTGCAATAGACAAACGTGGTGACTGATCGTCTGTCTGCCCGCAGGGCACGACGACTTTAGTTGTGTACGTTGTCGCACGAACACTTTCCGTCCGGTTACAATGCGCAGTACAATTACGGACAATGCAGGTGGTATTTCGCCACACTGCCTCCTTGCGCAGTCATCTCAAGGCGTAAGCCGGACATTACATCAGCTGAAGTACTATCGATGCGAAATAGATACCATAATTGGATATAATTATGGGTAAGATTGGCATAATCGATTGGATCCACCGTGCGGATTTTCTTCTGTAAGGCAGAGCTCGAGATGGCTTAGGGATTAAAGCGCGAATTCACTGACTAGAAGGTCCGTGTTTCGAACTCAGTCTTTGTATCTCCACCGCTCCTGTCTAGGCTAAGGCGACCTGGCAGTTTCCCAGCCCTCGTGGTTCTTTTGTGTAGAGTGGCAGCCAGGCACCGATGTGTTACAGCTGGACGTTATCATTATTATTAATATATTTTGATTTCCCCCGCATTCTTTTGTTAGCTGGGTCGTAGTAATGCTTATTCCTTATTGGATGTACTCATTTTTCAAATCTCCGGGTCAACAGCATTCAGGGTGAGTGTGGTCTACATCAAGCGAGATTTCATATCGTGAAAAAAGTCATGTCCTACATTAATCTCTCATTTGGGATGACGTCGTTAGTCTCAGAATTGTCGGACAGCAAATTTTGACCACATTTATAGCAATTTTTTTCAGCTAAGTTTGATTTTCCCCTCAGCAATGAGGACGATTTAACACAGATGTATCAATGGATCCTCGCCCAGGCGGCCACAATTGAGGAAGATATCACGGAGGCAGACCAGGTCGCATGCTTGGACAACCTTCACGCTGAATTTGCCCGTATGATCAATTCTCAACAGTCAGGTCTGCCACCTGTACAGGATCACAAATTCATGCGTGGTCTGCTCCAGCGGTTGTCTGGAAAACATGGACGGTTTCGCGGTAATTTGCTTGGCAAACGAACCAACTACACGGCACGTACTGTCATCTCACCAGACCCCAACCTGAGAATTGATGAGGCGAGTTTTTGAAGTGATTTTACTGGTTTTCCTTCTTATCTTTGAGTCGTGCGGATCTTCAGATGAGATAGACTTCCACTTCAAATGTCTCTTTCTCACTAATTTCTCAGGTATGTGTTCCCGACCATTGTGCCAAACTCCTCACCTTTCCAGCAAGGGTAACCACATTCAACTTGGACTTCTTGCGATCCCTGGTCTTAAATGGTCCAAATCGTTATCCGGGTGCACTATTTGTCAGCTATAAGCTTCGCGGAGAACAGAAACGACAGGCGGAGGCTACTGGTAGCTCCGATGTGGTTAAGCGCTTTCTAGCCTCAGCGCGGGCACGCGAAGATGTGGCCCGGCATCTGCAACCGGGTGATGTCGTCGAGCGACATTTGGTCGACGGAGATATCATCTTGTTCAACCGGCAACCCTCACTGCACCGAGTATCCATTCAGGCTTTCAAGGTAAGTAGCCCATACCTAGTTGCCCCCACTGTTTTGACATTTTCATTCTTCCGTTGTCCTCCTTTGTTGTTCCTGAGTTGCTTGCTAGAAAGTGATATAAAAAGAATTTCCATGGTGTTCACGTCCTCATCTCAGCTGAGGAAATTAGTTGTGTGCGTGCAACTGATTCCTTCCCATAACGGGCGACGGACGTGCAAACAATGGGAATTATCTGTCCTGTCACTGTCCTTGTGAGCTCGCTTCATTTATTTGTGGACCAAGGTGAGTGAATTGGGATATCCTTTGTCACGAGACGAATATTTAGCAGAACGGAACAGTCAAGTACCATCTAGAATTCAGACACCTTCAATCTCGCTGTGTTTAGGTAGGCTTTCGCTCACATGCAGCGCGTGCCCTTGTGGCGCAATCGGTTAGCGCGTTCGGCTGTTAACCGAAAGGTTGGTGGTTCGAGCCCACCCAGGGGCGCGGCGCTTTTGCTCCCTGGTGTGTTTACCTTCCTCTTTCCTCCGTGAAACCGATAACTCATGATGTAGCTGAGTTTGTGTGAAGGGTATCATCGTCGCCCCCTATTGACACTTCATGGGCTGTTTTCGGTTGGTCAGATGTATTTGTGTGACGCCCGTGTTTAGGGAGTTCTGACCGAGAGAGGCGTGCAGACAACCTACCTATGCGCGTGCGTCTACCTACTCATGAGTAGTCAAAGTGGAACTCATCAAATTTCCCGACAGCCTGCGCTGTTCGTGGTAGGTGTGGCGCCGCCCCAAATTCAAGGTTTTTTGCCAAAACCGTCTGCCTACTCACGAGTAGTCAAAGTCGAACATGTCAAATTTTCCGACAACTTGCGCTTTTCGTCTCGGATATCGTGACGGCATCTGCCAGTGTGAGCGGTAGCCAAAAATGTTTAGCACAACCGCAGTGATTTCAGCGAACACCAGAACCCATAAAGCAATCGCGTATCTAACCTACCTTGGTTTCGCAGCATGAGCTATGGTCAACGCCATCAAGTACTGGCCTGCCACCCATCATTGATTAACTTATTTTTTGTTTAGTGGCTTAGGGACATCTAATGGGCCAACTCACCAAGTACTTTGAATTGGCAAATCCGCTGTCAAAATCGGTTTCGTTCTCTCTTGAATGGTACCTATAAGCTTTTTAGCATGTGTAATGGACCTTGAGTCGTAATTGGTTAAACGCTAAAGCACACTTAAAAAGTTGGATTATGATCAAGCAATTTTCAGAATCATAAAAGCACCCAGGAGTGAATGTCGCTTTTCCAACATTCCTCGGTACTGAATTATACATACAGTTATGCAGGTATATTGCTGTCACCATTCTAGTAGTTGACAATTCACCTATGGATTTTTCCCCTGCTCGTTGTTTGTCTATAGAATACTTTTATTCAGCTGTAAAGCCAGGCGAACACATCTATTGTTTTGCATTGCCACACCACTGCAAGATGACACTTAGTACTTAATTCACTCAGAGTGATAATGTGATCAGCCAATGAGCAGCAATCAAAGGATATAAAATTATAGCAAATTGGTGTACGTAAAAGTCGACAGTCCTGCTTACTGGAACCATGTAATATATCAAGATCATCTTCAACAGCAAACACGAAATCAGGAACACACGCGTTTCCTGGTAGATTGATGAGCAAGAAAGAATCTAGCATTTCACGTACTCGATGAACAAATCAAATTTGGACACAGTTGTTCACCAGCATAGCGTGACACGTTCTTTGGTCAACAGTGTCAACTGGAAGGGCGATATTAGCTCGCTGTCGTGTGAAGAGTCTTCTTGAAATTCAAATACCGCCTCATTGTATCGTTTCGTTGACTTCGTTTCAAAATTCTGAAGTGGAACTTTAAGTATGGCGAAATGTTGAGCGGTCAACAACATAAAAATGTTCTAATCAATTTGATCCAGTCGTTTAGCTTCGTAATTATCTTAAGTAGGTCATTTATTTAATTGTTTGGTATCCTATTCGAAACTGTACCTAAAACGCGAGGACTCCCCTCTTCACGACGCCCTTAGTTACATTTTAGGCGCGTTTCATCAAGCCCTGATTACGGACCAATCAGAATTCAGTACAAGGACTTTTCGATGTTCATTACGCTTTACTTACTTGCAGTTCTGAACACAAGAAAGGGAAAGGCGACGAACATTCAACGAACCCCTGTCAATTTTTTGGAATGTGCTCAGTTGCAAATTAATTTGCTTTTAACGAGAGTCTCACTGAATCTCTTGCTTTTTATAATGCCCCTTAAATTAGTATGCTGCAGAAAGCCGTCTCTTATTTCATTTGGTATGATATTTGAGTTATCGGAGTATATTTTCCTGCACTCATAAGGTTGCTGAGAACATTTTTACAGCTCAAGACTGGCTTCACCCTCCTTGGGGCCCATTAGGTAAGCGTAGTTTTCTAGTTTCCGCTAGTCCATCTGCTTGAACCACGACTTAGACGCAAATCGCGATACCTCAAATATTCATGTACCAACTGGAACATGAGGCGGCTTGGTGCAGCGCATTCAATTGCCTGGAGGCATCACAAACGAGCGATTCAGCTGGCTTCCAGGTGAATCTCTTGCAAAACCAAATTTGCTTGCAAATGAGTGCATTTCGTTTATCCTTGAGTTGTTTAGACATATGGACAGCTACAAAGGTATTTGAGAACGTGTTCATTTCGTTCCTGTAGGTCGCTTATTCGGAAGATAACTAAGGAGTTATTCCTAATCGCACCTTCGGTCTTTGGAAATCTTAGCGGAATATAGAGGTTTGGTCTCAAGTCAATATATTCCGGATAGAACTCGAGTTTCGTTTGTCAGCGACATGTCAAAAGTGTTATTTCACGGTAAAACATTATTGAATGCTTGAAGAACCTCCAGTGATAAAAGATGTGATAGTTTTCCTGTCTGCAACGTGGCGGATATTGTGCTCGTGGTTTTTATGGATTGTCTCCCCAAAATCAGTCGATTTTATCTGCTAATCAGAAATTCGGGCCCAATGCCACGCCAGAAAATGTTTTTATGATCATCAAAATGGACAAAATCCACATTTGCGTTGCTGAGTTTTCCAAACTGTTAGCCGCTTAGGACTCAAACTTTCAGAATTTAGGATTCGCCTAAACTGCGAGCCTAGTTTGTCACCCAGACGCATACTGAGTGTGCGTATTTCTCCTTAACACAGCTTAGAATGATGGCCAATGGATTTTCATGGGGTCTTAACTCTCTCGCTCTGTTGAATCGCACAAGGTCGTCTTCCCTTTTTAATGGTGTGCATTTACGTGCAACCACACTGTAAACCATAGCATCTCACTTGGAATTGCACTAGTTGGGAACGTTTCTAGCGATCTTGAAGGATGGTGAGACTCAGAAGAACCCTGTAGTTAACATGCGTTGTCTGAACGAATGTACATTGTCTTGTGTACACAAGATAACGTTCACTGTAAGGTACTGTACATTATCCTGCGTCGTCTTAACCGCGCAACAGTATTTGTGTCGCATGGGTAGGTTTTCACGTGTGTGTAAGATTCTTCGAGAAAGATTTCTAAGGTATCTGAAACGTCAAATCCTAACCTATGTCACCGCGCTTAGAAGTCAGACTAATCACTCAGTAATATCCGTAGTTCAATACAAGAACTGTTTTATTCTCCAGTCATTACGACGGAGGGGACTAGTATTATGTAGAAGTTCTCGCACTCGAAGCATGGCACCCAGTGATCACCAAAACTAGGGTGAGTTTAAGACTGCGTAAACGCGACGTAGTTTGCATCGGTCTCTATCTGATTACTCCAATGTAAGGTTCACTTACCCGACTACTGTTGTTATTTCTGGTCATCCTGTATTGTTTGTCACATGCCCTTGCGCATTCAGGCAGTGGTCAAGCCGTTCCGGACATTCCGTTTCAATCCTTGTTGCTGTAATCCGTTTAACGCTGATTTCGATGGGGATGAAATGAATGTTCATTTGCCACAGACCGAAGCTGCTCGTGCTGAGGCGAAACATTTGATGTTGGTGAGTAATTACTCATGTATCCTCATCATTCCGACCTTTCGTTATATTTGCCTACTTGTGGAAACCCCGTTAATCAGATGGCTTGTACACAACACTAATTGTTTTGTGTGCTAATACGTCCATAATTAGCTTTGCTGTGATCGATGTTGTATTATGTCCTGTTACTGTAATTTTCTGCCCTGTTGTACCCAAGGCACGTCTGCTATTCCGCGTCCAACGCTCAACCATTCTGTGGCTATTCGAGGATCACGTTTACCTGCACGTACTTTCCACCAAAAGTGAATTTCAAAATTTCGGGGTTTCTACTCTTGAATTGCTAGTAATGTAAATGTCTGCCCGTTATTGTTGTTCATCCGGTTCTCTCAACTCAGCACAGGATCCAATCAATTGTTTGGGTTTCAGAGAGTGACAACTTATCTGCTAGCCATAGAATCAATAGTTTTAAGGGGTGTTCGATGAGTTTATCAGCTTCCTGAAGTCAGTCGGTTCTCCACGATCTGTGTGTCTGACATTTATCCACTGTTATCACCAAATTCGCTCCGTTATGCTTACATTCCCTTCTTTTCCAGTCTCTCCGCAATATAGTCAGTCCGAAAAACGGAGAGCCATTGATATCTCCAATTCAAGATCTGATCACAGCCACACATTTACTAACCCTCAAAGACGTTTTCTTCACTCGAGACCAAGCTTGTCAACTAGCTTCACAAATCATTGCGGGCAATCACCTTCACCAGTCGATTAAATTGCCAAAGCCGGCTATAATGCAGGTGAGTCGCGCATGCTGAGGATATTCAATTATATTGTCCATCAGGAATCTTATTCTGTGGAGGTTATGTGGTTAAGGAAAACTGCTAGTCGATGGATAATTGTACCACTCCTCCAAAGCCAGGGGTTATAAAAATCCCATTCATTCTTCAGAATCCATTGTTGATATTGAATGTTTCTGATTGTACTTTGGTGCACAAGAAGCTCGGAAGCCAGATATTTGTACTCCCGTGTCGATATCATCCTCATCGACGATAACACCATTATCCTAATACATGTTGTTGCTAACGGCAAGGGAGAAGCAGCACTCCAGGATTTTGTGGTTGACCTCTGAGTAGTTGGTACATCAGTGCTCGAATGCAAGATTTACTGGGGATAGTCTGAAGTGGAGTACATCGAATCCTGCGGGCGTCAGACTAAGAATGGAGTTGGGCGAGTTCAATGGCATCTGGCCTCAGACACGATAAGTCATCTGACTATCTGGTCAGTTTAGAAGTGCAAGGTAAACTCTGCTAGCTAAACGTAGTCCGGGCATTAGGCAATCCATAATAAAGGTGATATGGGGTAAGAAAACAAGGCATGGGAAAGCCTTTTATTTCCCTTCAGTTAGCTTGTTCGTGATACGCAACTGTCGGCTTAAAATCGTGATTGTCCCTGGTTTCCTGACTATGCAAAGCAAGCACTAAGACAGATTTCACATCCACTCAACTACGAAGGCTGTTGTTCCTCTGATTCAAAGTACCGCACCTATCCCATCCGTTTTATGTGTCTCGCTTTTTGATTCAATCCGGGTGGTACTGACCTTGATATTCTGGCGGATTTAATAATTTTTTTAATCCGAGATGCTACCTAGTTAGCGACGGACGAATGGCGATCGAACTTTGGCTCGACCACCGGTTGAATGCTTCTCATTATTCCAAATGCTTGCACTTCTGTCTAGGAATCTAATGCGCACTGTGCGTACATCATCAATCGCTTTTAGTTTTCAGTTTAATTTATGGTATTGGACTGCACATTTGATCTGACAGATGGATTCGATAAGAACACTCATTGCAATGACTGGATGGGGCAGTGATGATTATAGTGACAATCTCTTATGAAAAGCCTGTTTTTACCGACAGCAGAACCTTGATTTTTACCAAATCTTCCGATAGAGGCCGCGTTAGTGTAAACAACTACTGGTGGACTTTCAAGATTAAAGGATTCAAGATTATTATTTCCCCCTTGAAAATGGAAAAATTGGAGACAGCAACATTTTCCACGTTTTATCAGACCCTAAACATCCGCCATCCTGATGAGCGTGTAGACGAAGGTGGGTCATGGCAATATGTTCCGATGTTAATAGCCCGAATGAATTTTGATCTGTTCGCCGAGCTTATTAGTTGGCTTGCAAAGCAATGGCAAGTGGGTCAATTGACTGAAAGAAAGCAAACCACTAAAATGCAACGCGTCCAACGCACCAATCAGATGACCGACTGGAACGCAGCTCACAAGAAAGACTAACCAGACCAATCGGAACAAAGGACTTGAATTACCAAGACCGAGGTGCCCAGCGAACCAATCGAATGCAAGACAACCAGCCCACGTCCTAACACGTATTCCAAGCGAACCAGTCAAATTACGCGTCACCCAGTCTTTAAATAATTAGTCGCGTTGCAGATCACAAGCAGTCTTTGGGAGGTACACAAACAGGACAGAAGCGGAGCAGTGACTCACTTAACGGCGCACTGAGAGTGTGTTCTTGTATGACGACGGCTCGGTTGCTAGTCAATTGACAAACTCGATGAACAGATTAACCACCACCTTATGAGTAGCTGGTAGATGTCTGAAGCCAAATGAGCCTATGGGAGGAGGGTATCTTTTTCTCTGTTTCATATGGCTAGCTCTAATTAGAAATTTGCAGTTTCTGTTGTCTACGTTTCGCACGCACACATCGGAACTTATACCGACTTATCTATCATAAACTTGGTTTTCGAGTGTACTTAATAGTGGATGTGTAGAACTTACAGGTACAGCATTGACATTCATTTCCATCAGTATTTCGTAGTTTTATTGATGCCTTTCCACCGGAGGAGCGTAAGTTCTTTGAACCAAGCTGTCAATTGCCCATCGGTGAAAACCTGCTGTAGATTTAATCAGTTCGTTGGTATGGTTACACTTAAAAAGATGTCTAACACAACGTGCTTAATCTTTGTCTATCCACTGTTCAGCCTAGGCGATTGTGGACAGGCAAACAGCTATTCAGCCTGATCCTCTCTCCACATCCTTCGACCAGTGTAAAGATCAACATTAGGCAGGCCACGAAGTCCATGTACTCAAATCGGGGCGAAGAAATGTGCCCGAACGATGGATGTAAGTTTCCCCTTTAACAGAGAATATAACTGTTATTGTCCACTATGTTGAATACTCACTACTCTCGCTTTTTTCGATTACCAGTCATCCTAATTCATAACAGCCAGCTTCTAGCTGGTTGTGCGGACAAGAAGCTGCTTGGTGGTGGAAGCAAGGCAAGCATATTTTACAGCCTACTGCGGAATTACGGGAGCGAGATCTGCGCTGATGCTATGTGGCGACTAGCTCGAATATCTCTCTTCTATCTGGCTCACCGTGGCTTCTCTATCGGTCTGGGGGAGGTGATGCCAAGTCAAGAACTCGTCAAATCCAAGGCCAAAGTGATAAATGCAGGGTAAGGTAGTTGCGTTTTGTGGTGTCTGTTTAGATCCTTGCTTGGAGATAGAGAAACTTGTGTTTAGTAAACGTTTCTCTGTATGCCTCCTTCCGCAGGCTACGGTTAGAATTGCGTAACCAGCAGACTTGCTTGTGCTGAAATATAACGATTGTTCTCTTTGCAGCACACAGTTCTTTCCCAGATTGTTCGAGTATCATCATTCTCGTCGGTAACCAGCCTTGTTGTGGTTCCAACTGCTGAATAGGACCAATGTCCTCAATGGTGTATGAGATCCAAGCATGATGTCAAAAGACATGATAGGAGCGAATACACTTTTGGTGGGCGGATTTATTCTAACAGTTCCTCACTTAAGGTCTGGAGTTCGACAGATGTAAGTATTATGGGAATGCGGTGAAAATTTACGTCTTTTCAGCAGTTTCGAATGTAGGACAGACAAAAACTGGGCTCGTACTTAGGTTTTAGGTTTGATATTAGATAACGAAACCTGTTTCGCCGTTTTGTAGAATCGTGACGCATGTTTTTTTATCTCTTCGAATTCCTGTACACTCTTGGTGTAAAGGGTCCTGTTCTGTTTTTTTTTCGACAAAAGATTTAACCTTGAGGTCACCACCGCCCCATCAATCATACCTTATCATCCTAACGCTTTATTACCCGATCACCTTGTAACCATCTGAGCTATCATAATTTTCGGTTTTCTAATCTGCGCTAAACAGCCAGTTAACACTTGTAATCCGCGTTGTTCTTGCCAGGAATCAACACTATGGGGTGCATGGTTTTCGACGCGAATCTGAACACTGCAGTTCAACTATGGTTTGATGACGGCGTAATTATTTGTTGATGATGCTGTAATGAGGCGAGATACAGCGCCGTGTGTCACAGTTCACACGGTTCACACACACAGTTCTTTTGTGTAGACTGGCTGCTTGAGCGACAGCCTTTCGGAAGAATGTCCGTGTGAATCATGGAATGCTTCCCTTTTTCAACAGAATGCCTTTTAGTAATTAGGGAGATTTTAAAATTTGGGGTCCGAATTTCGTCGTTTGGTACTGACGAGCCAACACGGAAATGCTTGTATTCATCGTTTGCCGTCTCTAAGTATGCTATGCAAACTATGGAAACTCCCTCTACCGCGTTCCAGAGCAAGTTGTCTTTCAAAGAGCTTCTTTTGAAACCGCCTGGCTTCTTTGATTCGCCTAAACCTACTTCCATCCTTCACCACTAGCCGCTGAGGGATGGTTCCGGAGGGTAGTTACTGTTAGCTTGTGTTTTGCTGATTTTTCTAGAGCATTCTGTCATAAGTAAGGGTTCCGGTTCAACATATCGACTAACTTTGGTGGTTTGTTTCGTTATTATCCATATTACGTTTTTATGTACTTGAGAGTAATCCTTGTAACAAGTATTTGTGTGTGCCGGTACCCACGTAAAGTGGAGAGTGATATGGATTGCTGTATAAAACCTGGATGTTATCATCACCTCATTCTCCCTTTTGAATATCCCCGTATGTTTTAATCTACTGTAGGTTCTCCACTTGTGATGACTATATCCATCAGTATGAGAAAAACACACTCAAATGTAATCCTGGCTGCAGCATGGAGGACACTCTGGAGGTACGTCCTACAGGTATCGCTCCTCAGCTAGGATGTCACTTTGTTCCGCGAATTGGGAAGCTCGAACGCCCACCCCACCTTGGTAGCACTGTTTTGAGAAATACAAGGCACGGTTTTTTCTTGCGCTATTGCCAAACCATCACTACCTACTTATGACTTGCGTTTCACGTGATAGGCAGAACTGTTTGTAGTCACGTTTCGAGCAGAACACAAGTAAGTTGATTTGGCTTCACCGAGGTCATAACCACATAAAATAAGTCTTTCTCTCATCTCCGGTTGGCGGTCGGATGCGAACTTTTTCGTCGATGTGGTACTAGTTTAGGTGAGGTTAGGTTTATTTCCTCTGTATACCAGGAAGGTAGATGTACTTTTTACGTCCAGTTGCAAATTGTGGGTGGCCGACCACCTGAGCTCGCCTGTGAAAACTTCACAGTCGGGGAGCATCACCGATGGCTGAAATTTACTGGACAACTTTGGACTAGTTGTAGGCGATTGCAGGATTTGTAAGATTCACAATATCACTCGAGATGTCGGGCAAACTAATCACATTGCTCAAGCATAATCACGCACGTTTATCACGTCAGGTGCTCCGGCATGCGCTAGCGTGGTGATAACTCGCTTGCTTCCCTCTCCGTGTCTAATGTTTTGGGCTCGTAACGCGGCGCGGCCAAGACCGTACACTGCTGATGAGCTCCAACGCCCGCGAACTCCGAGTCTAATGCTTCCCTCCACCCCCGTTCGATGTGGACTCACAAGAATAATGGAGCTGTCATAAGAAGACTATCCAAACGAGAGTGATGTGGATGCGAATTCCACAAATCCCGCAACTAGTTTCCTCTGATTTGTGTTTGTTGTACCTAGTGTAGTTTCTTTGCACCATCACAGATCTTGTCCATTTTTCTCTCTAGTCTAATTTAAGTCAGGAACTGTCAAAGATCCGTGATGAGGCGGGTGCCGCATGCAAGCGCCAACTCCATCCATCTAATTCTCCCTTGGTCATGGCACAGTCTGGATCCAAAGGTAGGATGCTTATCAAACTAATATTTCCTTGGGAGCCGAATTTCCTACAAGTGAGATATCTCTCATGTTCGCTTCCGTTTTCCTTGAAGGTTCGTTTCTCAACATCTCTCAAATGATTGCCTGCGTCGGCCAACAAGTAATTGGTGGGAAACGCGTTCCGGATGTGATTAATGGCCGCAGTCTGATCCACTTCCCACGTGGTTCTCGCACTCCAGAAGCCAAGGGCTTCGTGGGCAACAGCTTCTATTCCGGCCTCACTCCTTCCGAGTTCTTCTTTCATGCAATGAGTGGACGTGAAGGTCTGACCGATACAGCTGTGAAAACAGCCGACACAGGTTACATGCAACGGCGCTTGATCAAGGTAAGCGGTGTTGCTTGGCTTTCGTATATTGCTTTCCTGGGGACTTCATTGTGTTCGCGGTTGCTTTTCGTGTTTGTATAGGTTTCTTATCCTGTGCTGGCGAAGCTTTATTACACTATGATTTCATATTTATCACAACTTCCTAGGTTACCTTGCTTTTCGTAAATTCTCCATAGATTGTAATCATGTTCTGTTGTGTAGGACCTATTGTTTCGATGACCGCCACGGAATTTACACTCCCAGTCGTCATCATCATCAGCTGTAAAAACCGCATACTTGTCGTACAGTGGTTCTAGCTGCCAGTTTCGTTCACTGGTGATTTGGGGAGATGGGGTAGAAATATGCGCACTGGAGGCCGTCCCTTATGTAATTGTCGCGTAGATACAGGGTTGTCAGTGGACTTTTAACTGGGTAGTTTGAGAGGGGAGCTATGCATTGAAGGCAATAACTTGAATGAACCAGCGCCATTAAGGGCGCGACTTGTCCATGTCTGACAATGTCTCTAACCATTGATGTGACCCGTCTTGGAGTCCCCATCCAGGAAGACGGCAATGACTGGCGCAGCTGAGTTTGCTGGTAACGGCTTTTGTACTTCGCTGCCTCGTCATTGTTTCACCCCCTTTGGTTCGTTTCCACCCTTTAAGTGGTTTTGCGAAAAGAACCCTTCGAGGGAGTCGGTCGACTGGCAGACGCAGCTCGTGGCCAAGCCAGCACAACTTATGCAGTGCGATCACTTCATCTATCGAGAGTGAGTTATTTCTTCCTAATACCATTCGACCTACTTCTAGTGTTCCAACCAGACTCGGTCAATGCTCCAAAAACATCGGCGGTCAAACACTGAAAGTCTGGACGTCCTTGGCGCGCAGCAGCCTGACCCGCATAATAACACGAAGCGCACCTCAGCATTGTAAACTTGACCCTTGATGGATAAGCTGATATCTCGCCTACGCCACACGGATGCAGGTTCACGAAAGCTGCTCTGACCTTCCCAAGCCAGAGTAAATATCATCTTTCGCTAAATCAATAGAACGGTGGATGCTCTTGTGAACCCTTTAAGAGGTCGATTTCCTTCGAGGGATCTCTTGTGGTATGGATGTCGTAGCCCTTCTTTCTGCCTCCACTTACTATATTAGACAAACACCGGCTTTGCCGCTATCCGGTTGAGGAAATCCGCTTTTCTTATTCGACCTCATGTTAAGTTCTATCGTGAATGGATAAGCCTACCCTTGTCTAAACTTCCAGCGACACCTTTTTTAAAATCATCATGGAGCTCCTAGAAAACCTACGAACGTCCTATATACGCTGGTTAGATAGCCTTTTCAGTAAGCATCACATGCGCCACTTGCCTTTAGGTGAGCTGCAATTAGATTCGACTTGTGAAACTATTCTTCACGCGTAGCTGTTTTTTAAAAAATCACCCAACAGTGGCATCGCTTTCTTGATAATGACAGAAACTGATTCCCTTCTCTCACCCCTTGCTTCCGGCATTTTTTTTCAGTTCTTGGAAGACTTGACAATTGCTTACGACAATACCGTCCGAGATAGTCGCGGGGATATAATTCAATTTTGTTACGGTTCAGATGGTCTAGATCCATTAGAAATGGAGGTCGAAACCTTTCCTGTCGACCTAAACAAGGAGTTGAACAGTTTGCGGGTATGTCGTACAAAAGCCGTATGTTTTATGTTCCACATTGGTCAGTGCTGTTTGCTGTTTCCATCGAAGTCTGTATATTGCCACCCGATTTACCGGCCGGTTATCTGCACTTACATCTTGATTCTCCTATTTTATTACGTGCCCCGTAAAATTGCGATCCATTCAGTTTGGTAAAAGTAGAGGAACGGTCAGAATGTCCTGATGGTCAGCTGTGAGAAGTAATGGATTCAGCGGGATACAGAATTGTAATCGCAGCCTAATAAATTGTCATTGGTTTAAAGCATAACAGCATTAAATTTTAAGTCATGAGTTTCCAACCTTTTTGTCCTACCACTCTGTGTGAGTGGATCTGGTTATCGCTCCTCTGCATAGCGGTTACTACGACATAGTGACGAATGATCTAGCATCAAGCATCTGCAATGGTGAGCTACCAATACCACCATCGATGCTAAAAGAGTGGCAATCTTGCATTGTATATGCTATTCGATCGGATACTGGGACAAGTCGCTCACGCTGCTTTATGTTTCAATGACCCCCTACTTGTTACCGCTCACGCTTAAAATCCGTACGTAACTGGCACACAGTGGTCAATTTCTGGCATCCCATATTTCTTTACGGTCGTAGTGCTAGGTTTAATTCTGTGCTGACAGTCTAGTCTGGAGTTAATTACACCAGGTTGTTATGGTCAGTTTTCGTGGGGGATGCTCCGCCTTTTCTGTTCGTCAATTGTACGACATGAGGAAGGGAAGTGACTGCCAACACGACGGGCCTTTCGGACCTGTCTCGTGTTTTGGGGACATAGTGGGGCACATAGTGAAAGCACTACTAATTGTCTCTTCCCCTTCTTCGGATTGTGCTCACCACTCGGCCGCTAAAAGCATTTATCGGATAGATTTCGTCATCTTCAAACGACGTCAAATTTCTTTCGGTAACTCTTGGCAACTGGGGTGTTTGCGTCTTTGCCGATGATATGATGGTTCCTATGTTACGTCTCTTACATGTCTTCAGGCGAGTTTCCCGTGCCCCGATGAGGAAGCCTTAACGCCTGAGCAGATCGAGACAGTCCTTCATGCGGCACTCGGTTTGGAGGCGTTCTCTTTCATGGGTCCGGCGGTTAAGATGGAAATTCTGTAAGTTCAACGGTACATTTTTTGTGTAGTACACACCCTTCCTGTGAGTGTAGCACGGTTAGTTTAATCAGTTGCCTGTGACTCCTAGATGACCGCAACTCTTGATTTCATTTTTTCGAAAACTGTTTTTCTTGAGCTATCTCATCTCAGTAAGCCCGCGTGCAAAAGGGAATTAGGAAAATCGTCTAATTCTTTCTACCCACGTTTATCGACTTCGGTTGAATTCAATCACTCTCCTTAGCCCGTCGGTCCTCGTTTTAAGCATTCTTGTCTGCGGGACATCTAAGTGCATGTCACTGTGGAAATTTCTTATGGACTGTCAGTAACTCAAAACTGATTTTCAGGCTACTGAGTTGGATTGCTCTTTGTGAAGAGTGTAGTTTTTCTTGGGAGGCCAGTGTACATGACGACTCATTAAAGACCATTCACACCGGACTCGCTTGCGTATATTAGCTTATCACAGTTTTCTCTGATCCATCTTTGTTGTTGAATTTCTCCCACCTGGTTCGCGGGTGCTCATTGAGTTGAATAATCTTCGGACCTTGGAATTCCTTACTCGGTCGATACTTTGTCTGTCTCTCCCTTCATGAATAAACTAATGTAAAACAATCAGTCGCCCTGGAGGTGTGCAACATTTCGTGAATTGTTGGTGAATCGCTTGTGCTGGTATCCACAAGATGGATGTCTGGATAGTGTTCCCAAATACTGTACTTCATGTAAATTTGAAGTAAAGTTGGAGTAACTTCTTAGCAGGACCACCCCCTTTGCTCACTGTTTGTAAGGTTGTCTATCATTAACAGCGAGCCTCCGTCTGGTACGCACACAAGCCAAACGATAGATTTGGTGCAGGTAGGCCTTTCTCTATGTGACGAGTTTACAACCAACGACCCCCAATAAACTGTATTTCTTTTTCGCTACCCTGTTAGATTTCGTCTCCTCCTTCATTTCAGGTCGTTCTTTGCCAAATCTGTTTATCCGCGCCTTCGAGTCTGGCATCAATTCTGCCTGATCGACAGTATTGGTCAATGTGACATTGGACATCCCGAAGACGCACGTCTAACACGAACACAGGTACGGCTATTTCTAACACGAATCAAAGAGAAATACGAGAAAGCTCTCATTGAACCGGGCAGCGCAGTCGGTGCGCTATGTGGTCAGTCCGTAGGTGAGCCGGCCACTCAGATGACGCTGAAAACCTTCCATTTTGCCGGTGTGGCCAGCATGAATATTACTCAGGTGTGTTTTCTACTTCTGACCGCTTAGGTCTTTTGTGGTGGAATTGTGTTAGAATCGCACCTTCCCTCATCCAGGTTACAAAACTTTCGATAAATCCAGAAATTCCAACTCTTATTGCATAATTACATAGTTGTGTTAAGTGCAAGTCATACCACTTGCATGAAGCCTACTCACTACACTGTCAGTTACGGCACTTCGGACAGACTTCTCTAGGCGTTGTTGCTGAGGTCACTGGCTACACACTTTGGAAAGCTGTTTTGATTTCAGTCCTGATCCAAGCAGGCATGCATTAGGTTATGTGCACCCTGTTACCTGTCTATCACCTGTTATTTCCTGATCGTATGCGCCCAGATCAGATGCACCGCTCTATTATCTGGCAGATTATTTTGATTTCAAAGAGCAGAATTCTATGCCTTGGACAATCAAGGACTCCCTGAGGTTGCGCAGATTAATCGCACTTCAATGACCTCGTCGAATGAAACATTCTTCACACAGTTCCTTTCGAGTTTTCCCCGCTTTTACGTGACCTTGTGCAGCTAAGATTCGAATTTTAATCCATCTACGTCTATAGTCATTCATTTGTTTAACTCTCGAAATTACCGCAGACGACCACTGGTTTTCTTGGCCTATGTGTTATCAGATAGTTAACCTCGCTAGCACAACTCCTGCTGATCGCTATTGTTTTTCGGCTCAACTGAGCTGCTATGCCCTCACATCTTTTCCTGTGAATCTGCCTATTTGAATGCTTGTATACTGACCGGCTTCCACCGTGCCGATACAATCTATCCCCTCCGCTTCAAACGTGGTCTCTTCGGGGGGGAGGGTAGACATTGACAGTAGTTCCCGCAAGCGCGGGTGCGTGCAAACAAAATCTCTTCTGCCTAACAGTATGTCTTGTAGTGTTCCCCCAGATTCTTGGTTGTAGCTTTTCATTCATCCATGCATTTCCGTACCGTCCGATTTCCCTCGCTCAGGGTGTGCCTCGAATGCGGGAAATTGTCAATGCAGCAGCGAAAATCAAAACACCCCTACTTACGGTCACATTAACTGATCCGTTCTCGGCCTCTCTGGCTCGCCAAGTCAAGCTTGCCATCGAACCAACGCGGTTGGCCGATATATCTATCTCACTTCGTCAGTGTTTGACCCCGGAAGATGTTTATGTGTCAGTCAAATTGGACGAGAAACGAATGGCACGCAGGGGCATTACAACCGCCCGTGTTGCTTCCGTGATTCAGTCCACAAAGCTACGCAAAGTGAAACTTTCGGTAATTTCCAAATAACCAAATACTTATCCTCGATAGATCCCTATTCAGTTACTCAAAATCAGCTTGCAAGATGGTTATTTTTCATTGTGACTCGTGTTTGCGGAAACAAAACTTAAGCTGTTCATGTTTAACAACCGTTTGCTGTTCGTTGTTGGTTCGAGCCTATGGTCTGCTGTCTTTGTACTTCTATTCCACTTTATATGAGTATAAAACGTGTCAACCTAAAACACACTGCAAATAACCGAGGTCGACTTTTTCAAATGTTTTGTAGTATGACGTACATCGGAATACCGCTTAATCTCAGGGAATTGCTGCGTAAGTCGTTCGTTACGGATGGTGAGCTACAGAACTATGATGGCTTTAGTAGGGACCCAGTAAACACGCCACCGGTGGCTAAAAGCAGCCAAAGGGGACAACCCCCAAAAGTTAATGATATATTTAATCGGTGGTGCATTAAAATAAATCGGTTTCAAAAATTACTTTGTGCCGATACAATCTATCCCCTCCGCTTCAAACGTGGTCTCTTCGGGGGGGAGGGTAGACATTGACAGTAGTTCCCGCAAGCGCGGGTGCGTGCAAACAAAATCTCTTCTGCCTAACAGTATGTCTTGTAGTGTTCCCCCAGATTCTTGGTTGTAGCTTTTCATTCATCCATGCATTTCCGTACCGTCCGATTTCCCTCGCTCAGGGTGTGCCTCGAATGCGGGAAATTGTCAATGCAGCAGCGAAAATCAAAACACCCCTACTTACGGTCACATTAACTGATCCGTTCTCGGCCTCTCTGGCTCGCCAAGTCAAGCTTGCCATCGAACCAACGCGGTTGGCCGATATATCTATCTCACTTCGTCAGTGTTTGACCCCGGAAGATGTTTATGTGTCAGTCAAATTGGACGAGAAACGAATGGCACGCAGGGGCATTACAACCGCCCGTGTTGCTTCCGTGATTCAGTCCACAAAGCTACGCAAAGTGAAACTTTCGGTAATTTCCAAATAACCAAATACTTATCCTCGATAGATCCCTATTCAGTTACTCAAAATCAGCTTGCAAGATGGTTATTTTTCATTGTGACTCGTGTTTGCGGAAACAAAACTTAAGCTGTTCATGTTTAACAACCGTTTGCTGTTCGTTGTTGGTTCGAGCCTATGGTCTGCTGTCTTTGTACTTCTATTCCACTTTATATGAGTATAAAACGTGTCAACCTAAAACACACTGCAAATAACCGAGGTCGACTTTTTCAAATGTTTTGTAGTATGACGTACATCGGAATACCGCTTAATCTCAGGGAATTGCTGCGTAAGTCGTTCGTTACGGATGGTGAGCTACAGAACTATGATGGCTTTAGTAGGGACCCAGTAAACACGCCACCGGTGGCTAAAAGCAGCCAAAGGGGACAACCCCCAAAAGTTAATGATATATTTAATCGGTGGTGCATTAAAATAAATCGGTTTCAAAAATTACTTTGTGAATAAGGCTCCAGTATCCAGAATATCGTGCTACATTTGTTTTCAGAAGGCTTTTATGCAACAAATGCTATGTTTGGCTTGTACTCACAAACGGAATCAGTGGCCAACTTAGCCACCGGTGGCACTGTGTTTGCTGGGGAGACATTGTTAATCAAACAAATGGTATTTCAGCAAGAGATATAGACAATATAGATTGGCTATGCGATTGGCCTCATGGCTTCATCCAGGTCAACGAAACGGTCTATCAGTTCCTTATAGGAGGTTGATTTTCAAATCTATCCAATTTTCTCGTATTTGTAATTTTGCGGTTCATTCTAACTTTAATCTGCTTATATTTTTGTTTCACATGCATAAAGCGAGTAACATATTCCAAGAACTTTGTCTACGTGTACCCAGTTGACTTGAACACACTGGAGACGGTGGTCAAAGTGCTTGAGGATGTGGTGGTCAAAGGTATCCCAGGCGTTGCTCGTGTTGTCATTCAGCAAGACAAAGACCTCGAGCACCGGATTTACGTGGAGGGCGCCAAACTCCGGGAGGTAATTTGATAATGGAGCAGCAATACTTTTTACTTATCTACCCTGCTCTGTGGCAATGTCTTTTTACTGACTTTCGCTCTTGTTTGGTTGCTTGGTGATCTGCTTGATTAGGTATGACGCTATATCAGCCAGTAGCGTGTACACAAAAACACCCTGATAGGGACACCCATTACAAGAACCAAAGTATTTCTTGGTGCGTGACGTCCCTTCCCGCCGTGGCTTGTGACTGTGTCGATACCCAATAATAATCATTTTGTTTATCCCAAAGCTAGTTATGATCGTAAGGATAGGTCAGATTTAGCCACTGGTTTTTCAAGTACTGAAGCAGAGGATGTTGATTTTTAAATGCTTTTGACTTGGTGATTTCCGGACTGCATTATGCTTTTCTGCGTTATGTATGTCATATACACTGTGTGCGTTATATAGCTATATTCCTACTGAAACTCTACTAATTGTAGTAAGTGTTGGAGGCGCCTCTTCAACAAATTCCGCCTTCCTTCAACACAACACTTGTGTCTGGGTTGGTCTAGAAACTAATTGGTCTTGTCTCTGCTCTACAGGAGTCAAGCTTAATGAATAGCAGTTTTTCTTATCAGGAACCTATAGTGTTGACAAGTATTTCTTTGGCTCCGTCGCACAGAAGCGATCAATCTGTGACTTGGCAACGGCGCAGTCAACTCACTCGCGTTGGTAACCGCCATCTCTCCGAATGGGGACCGCGGGATGAGGCAAACCAATGGTTAGTGGCCCTGAAACATATGACTGTGCCAAGCAGTTAATTGCGGTCTTGCATCAGAGCTATCGCCTTCACTGCATAGCTCTTATTCCCTGCCGTACCAGACAAACAGAACCATTCGAATTCAATGAAATGACTGAGCCATGACCTCTGACAAGTAGCTATGATTCCTTTCAGAGGGGTTTGGTAAACAATCGGTGGATTTATTGCTGGGCAACGTTTCGCTTTTGACACAAAAGCTTCATCAGGCCAAGTGAGTAAGTAAGTAGGTTGATTGGGTTTTAAGGTTATTGCCCAGCAATAAAATCCACCGATTGTTTACCAAACCCCTCTGAAACGATGACTTCCCAATCGGTCCCAAACATTTTCCAATTGATTGAAAATAGCTATGATTCCCTTATTCTCCCTATCCTCGGTGAACGAAGCTGTAATATCTGGAACCACTGCCCTTCGGTGGTCGGTTTATGAGCCGAAAAACTCAATTGATTGAACTTACTGGTTGACGGCATTTATTTCGACGGAATATATATCTTGGGAACAAGCCTGCGATAACTGTAAAATTGAACTATCTCAGTCAACGTCTTAACTTATCCGACTTCCACAAAATTATTCAAGAAATTGCCGTGTTTCTAGCCTAGCACTGAGGAATCATCTTCAAGTTCCCGTACGTAGGTTCCCTTGTTAACTTCCACGTATTGCAACTTTCTTTGTAGCCCAGCAAGCGATCCTCGTTTTCCAAGGGTGAATGCTTCCATCTTCTCGAGTGAACACGTTGTGAATCTGGAATACGATGACACGTGGCTGCTGTGCAACGATCTGTATTTACAAAACCCTTGGTTTCGCTCGAATTGATTACCACTCAGCGTGAAGATCTATATCTTTTATTCCTCGTAATTCTCCACTGGCCATGTTGAGAATGGCGATGCCTGCGCATCGACTGGATTTGCCGCTTCAAAAATATCCCAGCAAAACAACCTTCAAAACCTAGAAGGACGGTGTACTGTTCAGTCGTCGAGATGCAGGCATTTGGCGGGGTTAACAAAGGTCAGGGCAAACAAACGCTAGAGGGGAAATCTTGCACATTAGTTCTGACCGCCAAACGCACCAGCACACAAACGTGGGTATCATATTCCGGTTTAATTGATGATCAGTCACAGCAACAAATCCTGACGCGACCTCTTGACGATACCAGTTTGAGTCAAAATTGATCCGTTTTGAAGCACGAATGCTGTTCGTTCGGTGAGTTGTCTTGCGGACAGCTCAAACAGCGATCAACCAGTGTGTTTTCAACCTGAACGATTTCCCTACTCGTTCACAAGCCTTAGGGAGGAACGGTCGGAAGTTAGACAGATAAAATCCACTACTTAGTGACACATTATCTCTTTGGTTGAAGTCTTTCATCTCACTGGGTCTGCGTTTAATGTTTTTGTTTGCTCAAGCGGGTTATCGTTCAACCCTTCAGGAATTCGGATCAGGATGATGCTTTGCTGCATTTTATGCGACGTAGTGGGCCTCCAGTTCACTATTTAGGCGTTTGCTTTTCATTCTTCAATGTGCTCATTTTGTTAAAGGTTTCTTGAATGGCTTCTGTAAGCAGGCTTCTCTATGACAAATATTCTTGGATAGAAAACACAACTCCTATTTGAATTTTCCCTGATTATCTAGGTGACTCGTAAAACCCTCGTTAGATTACCCTTCACCCTTGTGCTGGTATGTTTTGAGTAACCGTACTCATCTGATGAATTGAGGGCTCGTGAAAATTGTAAGTTTTGCGAGATCCCAACCCAGAGTTGTTCACGTATACCGGAGTCTCGAATTCCTTGCGTTCAAAATATTCATGTTTTATCATACTCAGGTCATGTGTGTCCCCGGAGTTGTTCCTGAGTGCACGCGGAGCAACAATATTCTGGAGGTCGAGCAGGTCCTTGGAGTAGAAGCTGCTCGCCGGGTTGTCATCGATGAGCTATTGGCTGTTATGGAGGGTCATGGCGTGGAGGTGAATATCCGTCATGTTATGCTACTCGCCGACGTGATGACGAATCGCGTAAGACCCACAGTTTTATTCATTTTCTGTTAGGTCTTGTTTATCCAGTCGTGGCTGTTCGGTCCACAGGTCTCTCGTTTAGTAGACGTGTTCATCTAGTTTCGCAACCCGGTTTACTCTCCCTCCATCACAGGAATCCACTCAGCAACTAGTAAAATATGACCAAAAGGATTCTTTCAAGTTGATTTCGCCCTCTCACAATTCACGAGTAATTACACGAAAACTTCTCAACTTCTGGAAATCGGAACCAGTAGAAATTCTTGGCATTTCGTTGTTTAGTCTTTTTTCATCTGTTAACTCATTCTCTTCTGGTTGGTTAGGGTGGTCCACACCTTTTACTATATAACCCAGTTAATTGAACGTTTATTTTATCACCACAGGGCTGAATTGCGTCAATGAACCATTGTTGAGCAGAGTTCATCAGGACTCATGCTTCGTTCCACCATTCCCCACAGTTCACGAGGAAAACAAAGGGTAGTGTTTCAAAATCAGAGCATTCGACGAGGCGATCACGATAAGAATTCGTCAAGCGACCATTCTTTGCTGTGTTCTCGTGTTTCAGAGTACCTATATTGATCTTGTTGCGAGTTTTGTTCATTCCAACTTGTTCCTCTCATCTTACAGGGAGAAGTTTATGGATACCAACGTACCGGGATGGCAAAAGCGAAAAACAGCGTTCTTTGTTTGGCCTCGGTCAGTTTTTTTATGATTCGCATACAGATTTTATTGAGTTAAAATTTACCTGCATTTCATTTAGAAATACAATATCATTTCATGAATATCAGCTCCCCCTTCAAAGGAATGGAAGGTGTGGAGCTGATGTTCAGTGGTAAAAGAGCTGATTCGTGCTCAAGGATAGTTAATTTGACCGTCGAGTCAGTCTTGTTCTTGATTAACTGGAGGTGAGCACTCTAGCTCGATGGCTGGATGAACTAACCTGCCAGCTCGCTCCTTATGCGACTCAGCTGATCCTCGTCAAATATGCTGTCCGGAGTGATTCCTCATACCATTCAAAACTGATGTCTTATTCCGACCAGTGACCCAACCTACGTCCATCAGCATAACACAGCGAATCCTGTAGCAACAGTTCGCGATGAGTTGTCACATTCGTGGTCCCATTAGCTTTAGGCAACAGTACCTGTTGCAATTTTTCTGACTTTTTGACCTGTGCCACTGTATCAGGCTCATGATGGCATGCTCCAAAGTACAATCGGCTGTACTATCCCTTCTTTTGTGCTTTTTTTTCAGTTTGAGCGGACCGGTGACCATCTGTTTGAGGCAGCCTATCATGGACAAGATGACAAAGTTATCGGTAAGTTGGAGATTCCTTAGTAGGCCTACCTTTCCTATTATTGGCAGTCTGTGCGCGCACGTATCCCCACCCCACTTCCGAAACATTTGCAAATCGCAGAGCCATCCTCCCGTTTCTTTTACAGGCTTTTCTCGCCACAGGACTGATGGCAGGGCGTTTTCTACCTGATGTTCTAGTTTAATATCAATTGAAGACGCTGAGTGAAAATGATCCCCCCTGAGTGGGGTTTGACTGTCGCAAGAGACTCTAAAAGGCCCACCAAAGATAAACTTCTCTTGGGGCTATTCCCTTCATAACGGGGCAACTCCGTCAACTTTCTGTCCTCTAAGTTCAGAGGACTGTCGTTATTTTCTACTTTTCCTCATTATCTGGCCTCTTCAATAGGTACACCAGTGTTTTATTTGTTTTGTTTATGACAAAAACACAGGCCAACTAATTCTCAGTTTGATTCACGACAGCCTTCAACCTCTGTGAATTTCATATAAAACACTAGCTAAGTTGCTCCGAGAAAAGCCATCTTCCTGGTTCTACCCAATCTCTGAAGACGGCTTCATTAATACTCCCATTTAGGTCGGTTCAAATATCGACGGTTCATTTGCCTTCCAGAGTTGCTGAAGCACCCATGTAATTTGAAGAGCTGCTTCCCTATTTCAGCACTGCGCTCAAGTTATTAGGTATTATCAATCTAATCTCGCATCCCCTGTTGTTCATTTTCCACACAGGTGTTACAGAGAGCATCATTCTTGGCAATCCAACTCGTCTTGGAACTGGAACATTTGACCTTCTCAGTGATCGATATCCTTTTGATACCGTATTATGTGATGTTTTTTGCTGACATGTTTGTCTCAAGAATGCAGTTTGGCTTCATAGATCTAAAACCTTCCATGCGAAATCTACATGACGGTCGTCAAGTGAAGCCATGTGCTTGGTCTTGTACAGCTGAACGTTATAACTCAGCGTAAAAGTCCAATGAAGAGAGCCCACAGTTTTGATTCAGGGCCCGCTTCCTACTGATTGTTCTGAAGTGCGAACTGATGACTTAAAATGTATGAACGTCGTTTCACTCATCACGTGTTTTGAAAGACGAGCACTGCCTGTCGCTGCACCATTTGCTCACCAACAGAAATCTGGAGCAAAGACGAACTATCCACATTCAAAATTATAGAAAACAATAGGGCTGTACCCAAGTGAGGTTTTCTGTATTTAGTTAGATTTAGCAATCGTGTGATGTTGGCCTTTAAGAATTGCACTGATGGTTATCATCACCATCAGCATTACTTGCATTTCTCTAGTCGTTATTAGTGTTTTCTCTCAGATTAGGGGACAGAAACTAGTCGGTATTCCCATAAGTCCGTAGGCTCTAAGCATTAATTAACAAAGCTCCAACACCGTTCCGTTTAGTAAGTTATCACAAACATGTGTGGATGAAACCTTGCGGTTTCCCACTAGAGTTTACCGTGCAACGCCCGATTGCAGTTGCGGTACGATGTGGAAATCTTGCATACTTTCTCTTTGCACTTTAAAACTGGTTTTCTTTACTCCCCCGGTCGATCGCCATGAGTAGACTCGCACCGTTATCCCTATATTTCCTAATCATCCGAACAAGATCGTGCCACCTGGTGGCTCCATTCATTCGTCCTTGAGTGAGTACATAACTCCATTGAGGTTGATTTTGCCAGCTGACTTTCTCCTCCCGCCTTTTAACGAACTACAACTAGAGTAACGTCCATGAAAGATGGGGCAAGATCCGCTTCACGTATGGCTTCGAATGACTTATTCGAGCACGCTGCTTACAAGTATGGAGAATAAGTTATCTGTTAGACAAGACCTGACGGAATGACCTCCCTTTCCTAGCTTGGTATTATCACCATCTCTTAAATAAACATTTGTTCTGCTCCTTCATTCAGTCGAAACCTTAACTCGTCGCTTTTTTGCCTGTCTTCTTGGAATGCACGTGGCAAGATCAGTTGAAGCTGAAACCGAAACCACTCTTGCTCCGGTGAAAACAGACTGAACAAAATTATTTATTCCGAGACTCTTTTTTCTACCTGCCTTTTGATCTCTTTCAGAATACTCGTGCCGTGTGTAAAAAACGATGGACCCAATATATTTGAATTTTACCTACCTTTGTTTGTGCTTATTCCTTTGGTCAGATTGGTTGCGATTCATCCTAGTTTCAAAGTGGAATGCAGCAAGGACCCATTGAAACGCACGTTGTAGAACGACTCTGTTAATTAGTTCTCTTGCCAATTCGCTTCTCCTCAAAACGTTCATATTGTACGTTTATTTGCCACTACCGATATCGTGTGTTTAAAGCATATTTGTTCCAGCATATGATGAACATATTTACCAGAACCAGGTCTATGATCACATAAACTGCATATACGTTTGGATGGAATCCGGCGCAGGAGGCGATCATTTTTATTCATCAGACAGCTAATTGTGACGGAATTGAAAGCCAAAGGCGTACATGAGTACTATGGGCAGGAGATTTCAATCGCAACTCAGTGGTTTCATTTTTTGCTGTCATGCAGAAGTGTGATATGCAGGAACACGATATAACAGAGCTCTAGTGGACCATATCCAAGCAAATTTGATGTACAAGCGTACGTGTTTTGCGGATAGGCTTCACTCCATTGATAAAGAAACTGCCTGCTGGATGGTAATGTGTTCGACAAGGGAAATTCAGGACCACAAAATCCTAGGCCGAACAAGGACTCAATGAGTAAATCAATAGAACAACAAGCTACTAAAAATAGGAGTGACACTACAAACCAACAGAGAAGCCGACCACGATGCAATACAGATCAAGAACGGGCCAACCGAAAGAGACAGTAATGGACCGCAATTTCAACGCAGCGTGACCGTGGGAGGCAAGAAATACCAACCACAACTCAACACATATTAAGATCGGACCAACCAGAATCCAGGTTACAGCGCAAAGGCTGCTCTTTGTAAACTATATAAACGCAGGCGCAAAGAGAGGGACTACCCAACCAGCAACCCACTGAAGATGTCTCCTCGAATGTTGACGAAACGTTTGCAAACCAATTGCCACACTCGGCGAACAGATCAACAGCCACCTGACCAATTACCAAATGCCTGCTGGATCTCTAGAAAAATGAAAGTCGATTGGATGCTGTGCGCAATAACAGTTCTCTGTAATTGTCATTCATCCTCACCTTCGAAAACGGCAATAGCCCCAGGCTGAAAGTCGACTGCACATTGCACGGACGCCCAGCTAAATAAGTATCCCTTTAGTCCGTAGATTTCTGAATCCGTACACTGCTACCTAACACTTCTCCTCTTGCGTTCTACATAAGCTCCCATTAAGCATTACTGACGAACTGTGTGTCTTGCAGGTGCTAGAAGGTCCTTCAACGAAGAAAATTGCCAAACATTAGTCAGATAGTAACAAATAGAGTTCCGTTGTATCTTTCACTCTGGCGTCTTACACGTTTGAAGAGATAAACCTACCACCTTTAAAAAATGACAGTTGTAAACGCTCATTTCACGTTGCCTGTAATCACCCTTTGGTTGTGTCTTAAGTTTATTCTTGCACATAACGGGGTTGTTGACTGGCTCGGTCGGACAAGCTACTCCAAATTGCTTCTTGAATGGCTTAGTCTTGAATGACGCATTGGTCAGTAATCAGCTATGCTATTGAGAAGTTCTTGACCCTACCTGGTACCCCGTTCGGCATTTTATCTGGCTCTGGTCCGGCGAGTTTGCTTCAATCTGAGCTAAAAAGTATGTGACATGAAAACTATCGAGCGTATGAATAAGTCGTCCTGGAAAAGCCGAGTGAATTAAACTGACTCGAACTACACAAAAGGCATCTATAGCGGGAGTTGTTCTATCTATCCACGTTTGTTGCGTGAGCGGTTCCAGGATTGGAGAACTGGTCCGTCGTTCGCTCTTCCATGGGAAAAAGAAAACGCATGCTAACAACTATATCGTCCGATGTGCGCCATGATGCTTGACCGTTTTCGCGCGAGATGTGTTCCGTGTTACTGCTGTTCTTACTAAAGCTGGATTTTCCTTGTTTGGAATGATTCTGTGGTTACGAACCTTTGTAGGACTTGACCGAAAGATCGTTTGGAAAATTTAATGCTGTTGCAATAAAACTGTCGTCACTTCCTCATTTCGTCCAAATCCAGTTTCTGACTCGTTTTATTAATGATTAAGGCACTAACTTACTGACCAAAAGGAACGTGATTCAGTCCAAACCCCTGCATCTTGACTGCTCTTGTGCAGGCTTGGGCAACCTGGCAGTGTCTCATCTCTCATACTTCCTTAGGGTGGCGTGGCATCCAGGCACCAAAAGAGTGCTGCAGCGTAAGAGTTATTTTTATTCCTGCAGACAAACTGTGGCTTGTCATTCACCGTATAGTTCATGCAATATGTTCCGCCATTACGTCCTCCTCTTTCTCGTGCACCCACCTTTTGATGAACCAGAGCACCAATTGAAAAAATACCCTTCGACATCACTGTAAAAGTCACCAAAATGCTCTTACTCAGTGATGATACACTACAGCAAAACTCAATTACGTCCGATTTACTGCGAAACCGGGAAGGTTTTCTCGCTGTTCAGTTCCTAAAGCAGTCTAACGATGTGCGTTCATTTTGAAAGTCCGAATTCTCCTACGGAGTCACCACCTATTTAGCACACTAAATCAGAAACTGTCCGTATGCTCCGGTGATAAGAAGACCTTGAATAATCCTTATGATACTTTTACATTGTTAGGTTCCAGGTGGCACCAGATACCTGCAGATATCAGCTCAGCCGCCTTTTTATCGAATAGATAACAACCATCAGAATGTAAAATTGCAGTAAGCAGTATTCTCTGTTGCATATAAACCACTTCCACGTCAGAGCTGAGTCAAGGACACCAAACGTTGCAAATCAAGTTTGTGAAAAGTTCAAGTTTTCACATATAATTTCAAATGAATTAGAACATAAGCATTGCTCTGCCATTTCCGAGCGCCCATTGCCATGTCAATTCATCCACATCGTCTACCGGAACAACATTCTATGACTTCTTCTACCTCCGGCAACATGGTACGATTGAACTCCTTGTTTGTTCAGAAATTGATTCATATAGACATAGGGGTCGAATGTATCGGCCCCGTCTTGTGCACTGCCCGCAGTCTGTGATTCAGAAGCAGGTTCGAGAAGCAGTTTTATGTGCTTCTTTGGTGGGATCTTCTCTGGATGCAAATAAGCTGCCGCTCGACCAACAGCCATTATCAGCCCAATCAGAAGAAAAATGGTCGGTGCTGAAACCAACCCCAACACACGCCAAAACTCCACAGTTGTCCACCACGTATACAATCCGTCTTCAGTCAAGATTTTGACATGTATTTCGTCGACAAACCATCGTATCTGAATGCTGGTTGTTTTAGGGTGCGTCGTCATCCCCAAACCTTGTACCCAGCATTGCCATTTGCCCGAAGCTTGCGGTGTCGTACCAGTGAGCACGAGCCAACGTGCTTTCCAAAAGTTTCCGGCTTGTCTCTGAGCCAGTACCAAATCACGGTCACCGATTTCCGGTTCCCCGCGTTGTTTGTCGTCGTTATATGAGCAGGGTACGATCGATCCAGGATGGCACAAGTGAACTGGAGCTTGAAAATTCATTTCCAGTTTGTTATCCATCTCTACTGCAGCCGTGTCATCTGTTGCGTGAAGAGGTACAAACCTCCAGCCAATACTCCAGAAGGTTGGATCTACACCACCGAGAGTCAGCGCAGTGAGGAATATATCGACATTGCACTCCTCTGTGTGTGAAACAAGTGAGAAGGACAACAAGGACTAATTGAAGCAATGTTCAGTCCAGCTTACCCTGTTGGTTAACTATCCCTCTGGCTCTGATTATCGAGAATCTGCACTCATTTTAGGATTCTTCAAGATATCCGTTATTTCTGAACATCTTAGGACCACTGATGACCTAGTTCACTTGTCACACTATCCTATGCTTGTTGGAATCATTGAAGCCCTCTATATTCATTGCCTAATGTCCTCATAGTGGATTCTTAACTGTCAGAAATCTACAAAGTTGTAAAGGGAAATAAGCAATGTCATCAGAGGATCAATGGGATCTCAGTTGATGCTTCGTGATCGACACAGCTCAATGTCATTTTCAAGCAGACCTGTTTCAACTAGACAACCTTCCTCACTTTGTGCACCACTCAGTTCTGCCGATGGGTGGCAACCTGTTCATCGCCAAGACTTGTTACGTTTCTGTCTGGGGGACCCAGTGATGAATGATCCTCTGTTTCCCGCTAATTCACATCATATTCCCACGGTGGTGCTGTTGAAATCTTCAAAGACGTATCAGGCGTTTCATCCGAGTATGGGTTGTTTCTCGTGCTAAGTGTACGTCGACACGACCAGTTCTGATATCCCGTTTGAGCCTACTAAGCTGGCTAACGGTTACCAATAAAGTCGGTGACTTGCATAGCCTAGATCCATAGTCACTCTTCGAACTCGATATTTATATCTCTACATATATACAGAGTCCTTTGAATTTTTCGCTACATGGCGATACGGCACGCTAACGGCTTTCCACTTAACGATCCACTGTCTGTTGCGACCGCTTGAAATCCCAGCTCACTCACACGTGATGACGTTTTCATCCCCCTTACATGGTAGAACTTCCCAAGGATGACCGAACTGGGGTTGCTGTTTTATTGAAGGTTAAATATTGTACCATCGACACTTCTAAACCAAATGTTCATGTGAGAACGAGAGCAGATGACGACTACCTGTATCGGGTGCATGCTGCTTTAATCATCGCGCCGGACGATTACTGGGGT